GAAGGCAGGCTGGGTGCTCTCAGAGCCTCCCTCATCCTTTTGGGAGACCTGGGGGCACCCAGCACCTGTTTCATCCCTCTGGCGAGCCCAAGCAGCACCCGCAGGTGCTTCGGGAGCTTCGTTTTTCCCCAAGGGTCACCTAGAGGAGTCAAAACACGCGGGCTGCAAGAAATCCACAGGGTGCCAGAGCTGCTTGGCACACTTTCTCCCTGCCAAGCCCCTCAGCATCCCGCTCCTTCCTCCCAGCAGGCTGATGCCATCGCCCGTCCCCGCGGCCTTCCTGCCCGTGCCAAGCTCACTGGGCTCGCTCGGCCCCGCCGGCGTGGAGGCCCTGATGAGCGCCCAGGCAGCCTCGGCCGGCAGCCGGCTGGCCCAGGCGGATGCGGTCCTGCGGGAGAACGAGAGGCTGCTGCGGGAGAACGAGAAGCTGCGGCGGGAGCTGGAGAGCTGCACGGAGAAAGCCGGTCGCATCCAGAAGGTGAGCCGGCCGCTGCGCCGGTGTTGGCATCTCGGGGTGGGATGCGGGGTCCCAGCCCTGCCATTTCTTTGGGAATTGAGCAGCGAGTGTGGATACTCATGGAGCCACCTCTGCTTTGACCCAGGGCTTTGCCCACCGAAGTCCATCCCTCTGGGAGGAGGGGACGTGGCTCCGTGACCTCCCACCCCTGTTGGGCTGGGAGCTGGTCCCCCCTCCCCGCGTGGCTTGGTGTGCACAGCGAGGCTTTGTCCCCTCTTTTGGGGCAGAGCTCGTGCATTTGCTTCCTTGCCGCCTGGGGCAAACAGCTGCTGGGGAAATTCACCCCCCTTTTGTGTTTTAATCTCTGCCCCCTCCTTCTGGTGGCTGCGCCCTGCAAACAGCTGTGCTTCAGTGGCAGGGCAGCTCCTCGTCCTCACTGAGGGGGGGCAGAGAGCCCATTCTGTGCCTCCAGTAGCACTCAGGCTGCCACAGAAAGCCCTTTGTGCGGCTGTGCACAAGGACAGGGCTGTTCCCCGCCGGACAGATGGACACTTGGAGGCACGGGGAGAGGCTGGGCCAGCGCAGGGGGACTGCGGCGCAGCCAAATCCACGCTAGGGCCAGTGAGAAAACTCCCTCTGTGCCCACAAAGCTAAAAGCAGGGGGAAAAAAAAACAGCTTTTCCCCCCAAACACATACTGTGGTGGGGGTTCCTCGTTGCCACTCCCATGGGTTTGCTGAGTCCCGTTGGCAGCTTAGGGCAGGTCAAGAAGCCCGGGCGATGTTTCGCCAACATCTGCCTTTCTTTTCCTCATTCCACAAATATCTCACCCCCGCCCGTCACTTCCTCCTCCCCAGCTGGAAACGGAGATCCAGCGCATCTCGGAGGATTACGAAAACCTCATGAAGGCGTCCTGCAAGCGGGAAGCGCTGGAGAAAGCCATGAGGACCAAGAGAGACGGCGAGATGCGGCGGCTCCAGGACTTCAACCGAGACCTGAAAGGTGAGGGTGGCTGCGACCCATAGGAGCATCGGGGTGGTCCACTTGTGTCCCCCGCTTCCACGGCGGCTCTGGTTGGCCAGACCCCTCCACACCCCCATCCCCGCAGGCGCCCCGAGCCCTTGGCTTTTCCCTGACATGTTTCTTTTTAGAAGTTTCATTACTCTGGGTGTTTTCACTGAGGGCTTCATCCGATCAAAACAGTTATTTTAAATCTGAATTTTTCTTTGCATTTTTGTGCCAGAACGGTTGGAATCGGCCAACAAGCAGCTGGCCAGCAAGACCCAGGAGAACCAGGAGAGCAACCAGGGCACGGTGGCGAAGCTTCTGGCGCAGAGTAAGTCCCTGGGGGCTCGTCTTCACCTGGCTCCCCTGCGGCAGGGACTCGGTGCAGAAGCCTTTAAGCTGGGGGAGGAGGCGGCAGGGGCCGGGTGGGAGCTTTTTGCCCTTCCCCGGGGAGGGCTGTGCTGCTCCGGGCGCTGGACTCGAGCCATTAATCCCGGCCGGCCGGCGGGGTGACCTGCATTCTCCACATTCCTGCTGCTGAGCCGGCTCTTCCAGCACAAAGTCCGCACTCCCTCCCCGCGCCCGCCTGGCCCTTCCTTTGCTCCTCTCTCCTGAGCAAGCTGGGATTTTTTTTGGGGGGGGAGGGAATACAGCAAAATCCATCTCTACATTTCTGCTGTCTGTTATTTCAGCAGAGAGATGGTGTTGGTGTTACAAGGGAGGAATTGCGTTCCTCTTCCCTGTAGTGGCTAGCTACAAGCCAGGACTGTGTTTTTGTTTTTTTTTTTTTTTTTCTGTCACAATTCAAATTTTGGGCTGCAATATGCCAAAAGGCGGTTTTCTGATGCAGCTAGTGGCCGTGCTTGTGGCCGTGTCCATCAGGACATGTCCATGCTCTGATGTCTGTGCTGCTGGGATGTCAGCCATCACTGACACACCACGTGTGCTGGGCAAGGGCTGCTCACACCATGCAGCTGGGTCAAGAATCACAGGCACGGCCTCTTTTTTAGGGGCATCCACACAGTCTTTCCTCCCTCACCTTTGTGTCTAAGGGGCTGAGCTCTGCGTTTTTCTGCAGGCTATGAGCACCAGCAGGAGAAGGAGAAGCTGGAGCGGGAAGCCTCCCTGCTGCGCAGCGCCAACGAGGACCAGCGCCGGCGGGCAGAGCTGCTGGAGCAGGCGCTGGGCAGCGCCCAGGCGCGGGCAGCCAAGGCGGAGGCCGAGCTGCGGAAGAAGCGGGCGTACGTGGAGAAGGTGGAGCGGCTGCAGGCAGCCCTGGGCCAGCTCCAGGCCGCCTGCGAGAAGCGGGAGCAGCTCGAGCTGCGCCTCCGCACCCGCCTGGAGCAGGAGCTGAAGATGCTGCGAGCTCAGCAGGTGGGGGCATCCTGGGGACCGTGTGGCAGGAGGCGCCGGCAACCTCCATCCCAGCATCTCCTCACCTTCTCTGTGGGTCTTTTTTTGTCTGCTTCAGAGGCAAGCGGGCGCCGCAGGCGGGGGGACGCCCGAGCTGAGTGCCCACAGGCTGTCCGAGCAGCTGAGGGAGAAGGAGGAGAAGATCCTGGCCCTGGAGGCTGACATGACCAAGTGGGAGCAGAAGTACCTGGAGGAGTGCACCATGCGGCAGTTCGCCATGGACGCCGCCGCCACCGCTGCTGCCCAGCGGGACACCACCCTCATCAGCCACTCGCCGCGACACTCGCCCAACAGCAGCTTCAATGAGGACCTCCTGCTGGCCAACCACAAACACCAGGAGATGGAGAACAGGTAGTCCCACCTCAGCAGGCCTGCTTTCCAACGAGCTGCTCGTTGGGCGGTGTGGTCACAGAGCATCCCTGGTGGGTCAGGTGGCCCCAGTGAGGCTTCATCTAAGGCTTCGGCTCCATCACGCTGGCCGATGGTCCTCCTTCTCTTCTCAACTTCTGCCTCTTCACCTCTCCAGGTTAAAAGCCCTTCATGCCCAAATCCTGGAGAAGGACGCTGTCATCAAAGTCCTGCAGCAGCGCTCGCGGAGGGATCCTAGCAAAGCCCTCAGGGCTCCCTGCGACCAGCCAAGTCTGTGCCATCTGTCTTTGTCGCCTCCGCCGCAGAGGGCACCTCCCGGGGCAGTGCAGGTAAACGAGGGCATCCCAGCCTTCCTCACCTCTGCTTCCCAGCAAGGAGCAGCCTAAAATTTCCCCTTTCGATTTTGGAAGTGGCTCTTCCTAGCTGGGAGGTTTGGGGGCCTGTTGGGTGGGATTTCTTCTGTGCTGACAAATCCCTAATGACGTCTCCTCTGGCAGGCAAAACCACTGCTGACGAAGTGCCAGCGGTGCCCACCGCTGTCCCTCCACCCTCTCACGCCAAGTGTGGCAGCAAGGATGGCAGCACACAGACAGATGGGGCAGCGCAGAGCTGGGGCGACGGTGCAGAGTGCCCGGCCAGCTCGCAGGGTGAGTCCCATGGTCCCCAGGGACACTCCGAGGGATGCGGGAGGTGCAGGGAGCAGGGCTGGGTTTGGCTGTCGGCATTGAGCTGAGACTAAATCCACTAAAACCGAAGCAGCCTGGCTCCGGGAAGAAAATCCTGCTTGCTTCTCCAGGCCTCACGTTCTCCCCTCATTTCTCTGCAGAGAGCTCGGCTGCCCCCAGAGCCCCAGACCTGTCTGACATGGTGGAGATCTTGATTTAAGGCTCTTCTGGCCTCCCTGCCTCGACTTCCCCAGTGCAGCCGGGGAGAGCTGCCGTCACCGTGGTGGAGCTGTCCAAAGAGGAGAGGCAACAGTGCAGTCCTCCACGTCCAGGCTTGGCCCCTGTCCCCACCATGTGCCCTGCGCGTGTCCCTGGGGATGCTGGAGCGCCTGGCCCCGGTGGCAGCTGCCTGATGGCCCAGGAGATGTGACCCCCTGTAAATATGCCCCTGTTTTGTAGGACGGGAGCAAATGTATTTATCATTTCAGCCTCCTTCCCCACTTCCCCTGGGGTTTCTTCCCATCCCTCCCTTGTTGACTCCTTCCCATCTCCATCCCCATCTCAGGAGCTGCTGGGAGAGCCCTGGGCACATCCCCCTTTTTTTTTTCACAAAGGAGGGGAATGTAGTGTTAGTTAAGCAAAAAGAAAAAACAAAAACAAACAAAAACAAACAATAATAGAGGGAATGGAAGGTGGAGGAGAAACCTGCTGGAGATGAAATGCTCAGAGTGGAGCAAGCGTGCACCATGTCCAGGTGGGACGTGCCGCCCCGTGGCCCCCTCCTCTACTGGCAGCTGGCTTCTGCCCGTAGCCAATGTTGACTGCTCGGTCCTCAGAACTCAGACACTTCCCAGCCTTGCCCTTTGTGCATATATATATATTTTTTTCTTTCTTCTTCAAACGTGTGCATTTGCTGGACAACTGCATTTTTTATTTTCTCTCCCAGACACGTAAAAAATGCGTTTGGTTCTCATGCATTGTTTACAAAGCGGAAAACAAAGCAAAATATGAAAGAGGAAAAAAAAAAACCCACAACTTAATATATTTTATATTAATATTGGTATTTCTTTTTAAGTATTTCGTGCTGTGAACTTTTTTTTTTCCTGCCAAAGACGACGAGTTCTTGTTTGTGCGTTTTAAGTTATCTGAAGTATTTAAACGTAAACCTGGCTGTTTCGTTATGCCGCCCTATACCGAGATTGCTGTAGCATTCCACTTGGTATAACAATATTTTAATAAAAAAATAAATAAAAACCCACACATCTCGGCCCTCCCTGTGTTCTTTTCGTATGCGATGCCGTGCTCACTCGGGGAAGTGGAGGTTGGGGTGGAGGACACAGCCGTGTGATGCCCCACAACCATCCTCTTCCTCCTGGTGACTTCCTCGCTGCCAAGTCTTCAAGCCCTTCCTGGTCCCCAAGCTCTTCTAGGGCTTCAGCAGCCACCTCTCAGCCCTTCCCGTGCTGCCTGGCTCCCCACGCTTTTTTTCTAGAAGGCCAGAAGTTCTGGTGGTCGAGATGGGGCTGCCTTAGGACTTGCACAGCCACAAAATGATGCTCCCCGGCTTGATGCTCTTGTTGGCCGCAGTCACTTGAACTTAGTTTCTAGCAGCTGTCACACTGATGGCCCACCCTGGAAGGTGGCTTCTGAGCACAGTGGGTACCAGTGGGACGGCAGTGCTGAACAGGAGCTCCGAGCCACCCTTCCTATCCGCTGTGTTCCTCCTGTGAGCATGTCTCCATCCCGCTGCAATGCGCAGCCGCTGCACGGCCTCTCTCCCTGCTGTGCTCAGCACGGCGGCTTTGGAGATGCCGCGCTGGGGAGCTTTGGCTCCTCGAGCCCAAGGCTGTGGGGGAGCATGGCTGAAAATTTAGGAGCCTCCATCCCTTTAGGGGCGGGTTGGAGAGGCCCAGAGGGATGGGAAGCCCTGAGCTGGGTTGTACCTGCCCTGCCTCCCCCTGCTCCTGCTCCCCAGGGGCTGCAGCGGCCGCTGGGGAAGGGCTGCAGCATTCCTGGCATACCGCAGCGCTCACGCCCGCTGCTTTATTTACCCGAATCCGGATGCAGGTCGGCCTTGCAGCAGGTCTGGCTGCTTGCAGGCGGCTTTTCAAGAGCTGCAAAAGAAAAAAAAGGAAGGGGAAGGAAAGCCCCAAAGCCCACCTATAAAGGAGGCAGGATGGGGCAGGAGGTCCCCTGCTGCTGCAGCCAGCAGGGCCGGGGCTGCTTTGTTTTGGTAGGGTTGCTTTCCAGCTGCAGGAACAGCCTTGATGCAGCTCAGGCAGCAGGGCTGTGGGTTAGGAGGAGCTGAGAACCCACCACAATCCAGCCTGAGGGCCCATGCTGCTGCAGCAGCCTCCACCGGTGAGAAATGCCTCCCAAATTTTGCAGAGAGGGGAGGAGGCGGCAGGCAGGTTGGCTCCGACAACTCCGATTCCCTTCCCTGGAGGCAGTGCCAGGGTAGGAGCTGGGCTCTGTCCCCACAGCACTGCCCCTGTGCCTCGCCCCTTGCATCCCTGGCTCCCCGTGTCCCCGAGGAGCTGCAGATGGCTACCAAGATGGAAAAGGGCCAGCACAGGCTCTGCTCCCAGTGCCACCACCATCACCCCGGTGGCTTCGAGTCAGTCACCGCGTGCCAGGGCAGCAGCTCCCTGCTGGGTGAAGGGGAGGTGGCTCAGGTAGGGATGTTCCCATCCCTCCTGTGGTATGGTGAGGCTGTGGGCTCTGCATGGGTCAGGGCACAGCTGAGGGGTTCAGTGGTGTCCCCCAATTTTCCTTGCAGCCTGTGGCCACCAGGAGAGCCTCATCCCCCCCACGCTGCTCCCCATGCAGCATCTCTGAAGCCCCGTCTCCTGCTTTCCCTCTTTCCTCCAGGCTCCCTTGGAGACACAGGTTGGAGCTTGGTCCTTGGAGCATCCTCGGAGCTTGGCCTCCTGCTCCAGAAGCTCCCTCCTCCTCCTCCTCCCCCTGCTCTCTGTTTCCACGAGCCAAATGCTACAACTGGAAGGGGGAAGCGGCGCTCACCGCGATCTCCCTGTGAGGGAAAGCACCTCTTTACAAAGCTGAGAAATCCCCGGCTTCCCACCAGGATTAGGCAGAGAGGGAATTTCGCCCGTCTTCCAGCTAGTCCCCATTTTTCTGGGGGAAGATTTGGAGGAGGCTGGGCAGGGGCGAGCTGCCAGGCGCTGCAGCTTCTCAGCAAACCAGTCGGGCAGAGCGCGCCATCGGCTCCATCTCAAGTCCCGGCTTGCTCCGGGGGCCGGCAGGAATGAAGCTCTCCCCGCCGTGCCAGCTCTGCCCTGCTCCCGTTCCTCCCGACCCTGGGGCTTCTCCTTCCTCCCCAGCCCCTGGCCTTTCTCCTCTTCCTCCTGTACTGCTGTGAGGGACGGCGGCCGATGGCTTTTTGGGGCCAAGCAGAAGCGGCCAGAGCGAGCCGGGCGAATTCCTCATTCCTCGTCCCCGCGCCGCGCTGCCTGCCTGCCATCTTTGCATGCAAACAGTAAACAGGCTGTGATTATCCGGGATGCTTTGAATAACTGTGGCTATTTTTTCTCTTCCCAGTATTCTAAAAAGGCAAAAAATTCCCTGTGGTTTCTGAGTCAACTTTTTTTTTTTTTTTTTCTCTCCCCCCTTGCTCTCCCTTCTCTTTCCTTCCCACCACCTCCGTGACCTTGACAAGCCCGGCCGGTGGGCGAGCTCGGTGCCCGGTTTTGTGCCCGCATGGGGATGCTGCGGGGAGCCCCGGGGGGACCAGAAGGACCCAGGGGTACCCCCAACCTCAGCCACTGCTTGAAAGCTGAGCTGGGCACAGCGACGGGTCCCCCCCGGCCATCAGAATGGCTGAAGCCGAAGGACAAGGGGCGAGGAGGCAGCCTGGGGACGTGGCTTCTCCTAGGGGGGATTCCACTGTCAGAGCTCCTCGGTCTCCTTCAGAGACCTCCCTGAGCAGGTCTGTGGGAGACCTGAGTGGATTTCGAACAGGTTTGAAGCCAGAAGCTCCTGCACAATAATTTCAAGCTCCTGCTTCGTTATGAGGGGCTGTGAAATCAGCCTGGGTTCGGGCATCCCTCCCCTGCGCAGCGCTCACACTCGGAGCAAGGGAAGGGAAAAATGTGAGAAATGATTTTAGGGAAACGTGTGTTCCTTTAGCTAAACGCCATGCCCACTGCCCCCAGCAGTGCTGGAGTTGTCTCCGGCCCAAAACACCTCTTTATTTCCTCATTTATTTCAATAAATAGGCAGGGGCTGCTTTCTGAAGCTTCTCATTTTCCAACGTGACATTGAAAATATGGAAATGGAAAATTTCCATTTCGACTACAGCTGGAGCAGGGCTTTGTGTTCAGCTCGCAGGATTTTGCTGGAGCAGGACAGGCTGAGAGCTCTGTGGGGCTGCGAGCAGGAGGAACGTGTGCCCCTGTCCGGAAACTTCAGAGAAATGGGGACAGTCGTGTTTTTCTGCCTGGATGCTACTTCCAGGCTATAAAACAACCAAAAGCAGCCCAAAAGACGTTGTGGTACCAGGCTGGCAGCCTGTAAGAGATGCAGAACATGCTGGCATCTGCATGGGGTGTCTGGAGATGCTTTGCAGAGCGGTGGCATTGTAGGGGCAGAGCAGCCCCGACGCCAGCGCTGCCTGGACAAACGGCCTCGTCGGGATGGACAGGATGACATCTGGACAGGTAGCATGGCTCTGACGCAGCCAGGAGCAGCGGTAATTTCTTTCCCTGGCTTCTCAGCTAGGCTCAGCATATTTTGGTTGCACCCCACCTCCCGTCCCACCATACGCAAGCATGAAAAATGCTGCTGGGCTCCCCACAGACGTGCACAAACACCGGGGGCTTTGCTTCGGGGGGCGCTTTGTCCCTGCACAGCGTCCCCTTGTCCCTATGCAGCGGCACTTCCCTTTCCACTTTAGAGCGAAAACTCTCCAAAACCACAAATGTGTAAGAATTTTTGTTTGTCGATCAAAGAGAAAGTATGCATTTTTCACTGTTCTCATGCTTAGGAAAATTACAGAAATGTTTTGCATGAAATGTAGGGAAAGTAATTGGCTTCGGGCGGAATGACGGGAGGGGAATTTTTAACTACTGACGCCTGAAATTGAATGTATGAGGTCTCCTGGAACTTTGTCACAGTGGGGGATTGCTTCCCTCGACTTTTCTGACTCTGAAAAAGCTGAAGCCTGTATCACTGCAAGCTGATGCTTTGGAGCTGTGCTCCTCTACCCTCACCTCCAGCCAAGGAGCGAAGGCTGGGATCTCCCCATGCCATGCCATGCCATGCCATGCCATCCTTCCCTCTGTGAGCTCCTTGTGCCGAGGTGCCGTGCTTTCCCTCCATGCTCCAGCTGGGTTTTGGCACACTTGTGTTTCTGAGCCAAGAGCTGGGACAGGCGAGCACCAGCCGGACATGAGCTCGGAGCTTGGTTTGGGTTGGAAGGGCCTTTGAGATCAACACACTTTGCTTTTCTGTGCTCGGAGGAGCTCTGTTGGCTCTTCTTGCACCAAAAGCCAGAGAGCAGGTGGTGAACAGGCAGGTAAGGAGAGAAGGACTTGTCTTGTGAGCAGCTGCAGGGCAGGGGAGTCGCGGTTATCTGCCAGCTGTTGTGCAGCGAAGGGCAGGGAGTGGGAGCCTCGGATGCCTCGCGGGGCATGGGATGCTGGCGGTGTGGGGCAACAGAAAGGAGCAGCAGCACCTTTAGAGAAAAACCAACTTGCAGGGACAAAAACACCAACAGCGAGCAGCAAAACGCAGATTTTGGCCTCGGCGGAAAATGACACGCACTGGAAAATATTCCCACCCACATTTTTACAGCCTTAAAGCACGATGCTTTATTTTTTTATTTTATTTATTATTATTTTTTTTGCCTTTCTGCATCGGCTCCAGCATGAAGTAATACCACGCCTGGCCTCGTGATCCCATGGTACATGCAAGCAAATTTGCAAGCGCTGCTGTGCCTGCAGAGGGAAGGGGGCCAGGCCGGTGGGTGCCCTGTGCTGCCGCAGGGCGCTCACCCTGTTTTTGGGAAGCTCTGGGGAGCCCCCTCCACCGTGATCGTGATCGCCTGCCCTGCAACTCCTGGCACGTCTTGAAGCCATCAAAAGTTTCGGAGCGTGTTGCCATGGCAACACATTATTTTTTCCAGCTGTTATTAAAAAAAAAAGAAAAAGTGGAATAATGATAATAATAATAATAAAACGGAACCAAGAGAGGAAATTCTAAGAAAATGAAATAAGCCGGAAAGCTGGCAGGCGACTCTCTTCCCTCCCCAGCAAATATTGGTGGGAGACAGGGCAGGATCCGGCCCCGCGGCACATGCCGGGGCTCTTCCTGAGCTGCTCCATCACCAAATAGCACCGCCACCGAGGCGTTATCCCGGGGCGGCTATTTTGGGTCATGAAACATGTGTCTGTGTTGTCACCATGCATTACACAGCTCGACGGCGGGTTGGGAAGAGCCACCCCAAACAGGGTGGCTTTTTTGGATGCTGCATATCACCTTGTCCATCTATTCCTGACCCGTCTTTTCCCAGGGATTGGGAATAACCCTCCCTGCATTCTTCAAATACAGGAGAGTCATTCAAGCCGTGGCTCAGAGGTGAGAATTGTGCAAATCCTTCCCCAACTCCCCAACTTTCTCGGCTTCCCTGCAATCTCGGGGCGTCACCGTCCTTGCAGAGTGGTGGAATGAGCAGCATTTCCCTGGCGTCGTAACGCTGATGCAATGGGCTGGTGAATCAGTGGGGCTCGTTCTGCCTCAGCCACGCTGCACCACCGCTGTAGCTACGTTTTGCTATTTTAAGCCGCTCAGCCCAGGCAAAGTGAATGGCGAGTAACTCCGCCGGGTCTGATTTCAAACCTGCTGCACTAACCCCAAACTATTCTGGTTCACAAGACCTTCTCCAAACAGGACGCCAGGCAGTAACCCAAGCGTCGTGCAACACTATAAAGGGTATAAATAACACCCACGGCCCTTCTGGCTGTGCTGGAGGGGCAGGGGGAACCACAACACCCGCGTTTGCCATGGGCCGGCTACCGAGGGCCGAGGTCCCGGCGTTCCCCTCGCACGGGTGAACGAACGCTGGGGCCGAGTTGGGAGCGAACGCCGTGTCCACATTCTTCAGCCCGAGCCGGGAACATCAGCTCCTGTCCCGACGCCAAGGGCTGCATTCCTCCCTGATGCTGCTCCCAAAAATGCCGGCCCGGGACGGTGCCACTGGGTCGAGGAAGGGGCTTGGGGTGGCTGCTGGTGGCACGTGGCAGGGCCGGGCAGGGGCTGGCGGGCAGTGCGGCCCCGCGTGTTTACCGAGCAGCGGTGCTGGCCGCAGGGAGAGGCAGGAATTCGCTCCCCGCCAGGACCCCAAGGGCAGGCGGGCGGACCCGGGGAATTCGCTCCTCCAGCCGGTTGCCATGGCTGCATATTTCAGAGGAGCAAGCAAAGGGAAAAAAAAAAAAAAAAAAAAAAAAAAGGAAAAAAAGAAAACCAAAACGTTTTCTTGGGAGGGAAGAAAAATAGCAGGGGGAAAAAATGCAGAAGAGTAATGAGAAGGACTAGAGAGGCCAAGAAATGCATGAGGTCATCCTTAGAAACTGGTGTCGGAGGAGTTCTCTGTAGCTCGGGCTACTCTAATATTTATTGTGTGTTGTTCAAACCCTGGCTCCTGGCACCGGCCGTGGAGCCCTTCAGGAGCTCCACCACACCATGGGCCCTTCCGAAACCTCGTGAAGAGCTGGGGCTGGGCTCCGGGAGCGGTGGAGGGCGGCTGGCAGGGAGCCCATGGGGGTGGCAGGAGGGCAGCGGGGCTCGGCTGGCCACGTTGTCCTGGTGGGCACCCAGGTGGCTGTGAGCCAGCAGCGTGCCCGTGTCCCAGAGCATGCCAAGGAGTTCGGCAAAGCCCCGAGAGCAAGCCGAGGGCATCCTGCCCCTCTGCTCGGCACTGGGGAGGCCACAGCTGGGTGCCACAGCCAAGCCTGGGCCCCCCAGCACAAGACAGAGCCGGGCACGCCAGAGGGAGCCCAGGGAAGGTCACCGAGCTGCTGGAGGGCCTGGAGCCCCTCTGCTGCGAGGAGAGGCTGCGGGAGCTGGGGCTGGAGCAGGGGAGGGCTGGGGGAGCCCACCCGTGCCCATGGGTGCCTGCGGGGAGCTGCGGGTGGGACAGAGCCGGGCTCCTTGTGGTGGTGCCCAGGGACAGGGCAAGGGGCAGTGGGCACAGACCCAAGCAGAGGGGGTTCCCTCAGGGCATTAGGGACATGGAGGGGGCCCAGGAACGGGCCCAGGCTGCCCAGGGGGGTGCAGGGGGCTCCTCCGCCCAGGGCCGGGGCTGCCCACGCGTGGCACGGCCGGGCCCGGCCCCACGCTCGCTCCCAGGCCGGGCGGGCACTGCCACCTAGCGGCCCCTGCCCGCTGGGGACCCGCCGGGCCTCGGGCTGGTTTTGGGGTTTTTTTGTTAATTAAGGAATGTGTTTTATTCATTAAGGAACGTGTTTTTGCTGGCTGGTCTCATTCCGCGCCCGGCGACGGCCTTGCTGCCCAGGTGGGAAACAAAACGTGCGAGTGAGGGGTAGGAACTGATTCTGGGGTTGTTGGACACTGGAACAGGCTGCCCAGGGAGGTGGTGGAGTCACCATCCCTGGAAGTCTTTAAAAGACGTTTAGATGTAGAGCTTAGGGATATGGTTTAGTGGGAACTGTTAGCGTTACGTCAGAGGTTGGACTCGATGATCTTGAGGTCTCTTCCAACCTAGAAATTCTGTGATTCTAGGAAATCTGTTGCCCTCTCCAGGAGGGATTGTTAACACGCGATGCCAATATTATCAAAATAACCACAGTTTTGAAAGCAAGAGGCACAAGTGTAAGCTTTCCACAGAGCTTTCACCCTGTGAAACGCCTCCAAAAGGTCAGCCTCTTCATGCTGCCTCCACTGCTGTGCTCCGCAGGGAAGCTGAAGGATGGAAAACACCGAGGTGGGACCTGTGGAAGAGACCCAAGGTCAGGCTTCTGCTTTCTGGGGAGACGCCGAGGTATGACCTACAATGGGACAAATCCCCTCTGCAGGGAGAACGGTGGCATCTGGCAGACAAACTCCCTGCACTTCCACCAGCCATCAGGTGACTCACGGCTGCCCAGAAGACGCCTGGCCTGGGATTTTGGGAGAGCTCTACATCGAGGAAGAAGTTTTAGCCAGCAGAGAAATGAGCTGGTGAGAGTGTGAGGTCCCTGCAGGTCACTTCTCCTCCTACAGCTGCAGGCCGAGATGGGGCAGGACCAGGCCTAAGTAAGTGCCTGCTTACACCATCCTTCCTCGCTCTCTCTGGGGCCTTAAAAGGTTTTTCAGCACTGAGATCTGTGTGGGAATACTGGCTATATTATATTGCATGAAATGTATTTTTAAATAGTGGGTTCTTAAATTATTTTGGTGAAGGGAGGCACTTTCATTGAATTCCAGGGGTTGTGGCAAAAAATACGAATTCTCAGAACCAGGGTATTTTTATTTAGCATTTTCACTACCTCTCCAGAGGAAGGAAAAATGTATTTAAAACCCATTCCTATTATATTATATTAAACATATATATAATATATATAATATACACATATATAATCCTATTGTATTATAATGCCATCCCTCAATACCATCCCTCAATACCATTATAATACCATTACAATATTGAGGGATGGTATTAAATATAATACAATGGTATTGAGGTGCTTGATGAAGTAATTGGGATGAAGGTGGCCAAGCTGGAGCAAGGTATCTACTTTCCTTCCCTGAAGCATGCCCCAGGCTCCCAGGGAAGGCAGCCCTGGTTTCAGCACTCCTCTTTGCCTCGATATCCACACACGTGCAGCTCTCTGTACTGCAGCCAGCAGGGAGCAGCTACGGCATGGCTGAGCTCATCGCAGAGGAGCGCGTGGTGGAAAAGCTGTGCCCCCCACCCCAAGCTGCTCCAAGACATCCCGTGCCACACAGCAGACAGGGCTGGGAGAAACAGTCAGCCTTGAAAGCAAGAAAAGAGAGCAAATGTAAATCGCATAGCAAATCCCCAGAGCCTGCTATAGTCATTTATGCTTCTCCAAAGCATTAAGCTACTAGTGAACCACTCAAACGCTGGGTATCCATGAATTCCTATGGCGTGAGCAGCTGGAGGATGAATGGTCCAGCAGGGACTCCAAAAACACCCAGAACAGTTGTACAAGAGGAGGCAAGGTTGTCTTTCTCCAGCCCTTTCCTGACCCTTACCTCATTTCCAAGACAAGGATCTATGAAAACACAGCAGTCAAAGAACAGAATCGTCAAAAGCACAAAGCATTTTAATGAGGCGAAACATCCTGCTAAGTCTTTCAGTTTATTGGTGTTGAGCATGTTCCAAGCCCTAAGAAAAGGACTCAGAAAAACTATTAAAATAGTTGGCTTACGGGACCTGCAATGTAAGCATGATTAAAATTGATCTGACTCCATTTTGGCCTATGAGAGCTTATCATCTACAGGAATCAGTTTTTCGGAAGTAAAGTAACTGTCTCAAATAAGAGGTGTCCAGTTGAGCTTAGGGTGCAACAGCATTGCCCAGTGCTGGGAATAAAAGCAGATACGAAGTTTGGCCACGATATAGCAGTGACTGGATCCTGTGTCCAGCTGAGGAAATCGATACCAGTGCTCTCCTCCATGCCCATGGGCAGGTCCTGGTGAGTCTGGACACCTTCTGTCCTGGTCCAAAGGCCACCAGAAGCTGTGGGAAGGATCCTGTTGCCGACAGTGAGTTTTTTAATATCATCTATCATTCATCATGGTCTGGAATGTGTGGCTACTCCAGTAGCCTAAGCACGGAGAGGAGCTTAAGAGTCATCATGCTCTCTCATGCATCTCGCTTTGATGGATCCAGGAACTACACAACCTCTTCTGGACAGGGCTGGGAGCAGTGAAAGTGGGTGAGTCAGTCAATCCTTCTTGTTCTCGTGCTCACTGACTTTTCTCCTAGTGCAAATGGGGCTTTTAATACTTTTGCAGAAGGGAAGTTAAATAAATATTTTCCACTTCCTGGTAAATGCTCCAATTGTGCTTTTGTAAAAGAAGGGTGGGCTACGGTGACTCCTCGAGCTAATTGCCTCCATTCCTGTAGTGTGTGTGGGCTCTGAAAAACCCTGCTAAACCATAAAACAGCTCAAACTGCCAGAGCAGAGGGAAAAACTTATTTAAGTGATCTGTAAGATGTGACTGCATAAGTTTATAACTGCTGTTCAGTTGACTTCCCAAGGGAGAAGGGGAATGCACAGGGAGGAATGAGCTCTCTGAGGATCACTGCATGTGCAAGTAGGATGCTGCATCTGGTGTCACACACAGAGCTACAATGCAAGGTCTATCTTTTCATCAGAGATAGAGAACAGCCCTTAAAGACATGTTTTGAAGGTTCATTATCACTGATAAGCAATCAAAAGACCAAACAAGAGGCAGAAACCCAAGTGACTATCCTGCAGACAGCTCTCTGGGTGCAGCACGGTTGAGCCGGTGTCAGGTCCCTGCCACCAAGTGATGCTCAAGGACATTTGTGCTAAGGTGATTTTCACAGCAGGGGCAGGGGGAGCTACCTGGCTGGTCAGTGCATGTTATCCATGGTCCAGATCCAGTCTGCCATGCTCAGTCCATAAAGGATGTGGTATTGCTGAACTTTGGTTCTGGGAATAGTAGCAGGGTAATAATAAAAGACCCGATCGCATGCACTGTCCCTCAGTTTTGTCATCAAAATGTTATCATTTGCCATATCCTGGCCTCTCCCAATACCAGCTCTCACCTGAGCATTAAGCACCACTTGGGTGTGTGCAGAACAAAATACAACAGCATGGCATTAGGGTCTTGCTGTGCGACCCACACTTGTAAAAGGGCCAGGAATCCTGGTGTCTGTTGGCAAGGCACATGCTGTGGTTGACACACGAGCCAGCCCCCCACGAGTCTCCCAGGGAGGGAAGAGGTGAGATGGCCAGCCACCAAACACTAGCAATTTATTTCATATTTAGCAATATCACGGCGTGCAACGCTCCCCTTAAAAGGCAAACAAGGGAAAGGCATGTCTCTTACCAACCACAAGCTGAAATCGAATTCAGATGCTCTGTTTCCCTCCAGCCTCTGCTTGTTTAGTGCCATAGTAGCTCTTAGCTTGATGTTCCTAGGAAGTTTTTTTCCATTAAATGCTACATTTCTAGGAACTTGTATACTGCATTTCAGCGTGAGCTACATTTCCCTCTCTGTACATACATGTATTCCAGCCTGAATGGTCCGACCCTGCAGTGCCTGGCCAGCCTTATGGACCTGCATGCTCACAGCAAGAAATTTAAATAATAATAATAATAAAATAGAAATACATTGTGAAGGGGAGCAGGCTGAATGTCTGGGGCTTTTCAGCTTTATGTTTAGTGCTGGGTCTCTGCTATTGCAGAAACAGGACATCAGCCTTCCCAGCTTGTGCCCCCTGTTTACAGTTGATGAGACACGGGAAAAAAATAATAATAAATTGGGGGGAGAGAATGTCTTTATGTTTTTAGCTTTGAAATTTCAGCTCTTTCTTACCTCAGATGACTGCTGATCTAGGTGAACCCATCCGTCTGTCTGTATGATTTGATATCTGGAGCATTCCCTCACCCTCAGTTCTCCTTCCTGGGCTGTGGGAAAAGGGATGGCAAATTTAGAGATATGGGAGAAAAAAGTGGTAAGCCCCCAGTCTGCTCCTGCCAGACAGGAGAGGAGAAGTGGAAACCCTGGGACACCTGGCTCCTTGAAAGATAGATGCTGGACTGAAGAAGCAAACCATCTGGGCTGGGACACACACGTTTTCTGCTCCTTGGGCTGTGTGACCAACGCGCAGTTTGGTTGGACCCCATCCAAGCACTCACCTGGTACTCAGGAAGAAGAGAAACTGAAGACAAAAATGGAGGAGGAGGCAGAAGTGTCTGTTTCTGTGTGTCTAGTTCTCCACAAGGAGTGTGACGCGGTCACTTACAGTCGTGAAGAGGAGGTGGGGACAGCCACCTTTGTCACAGCACTGTGTGCCAGTGAGGCTGGACATGGGGTGATCCCAAAGCCCTGTCTCCTTTCTTCCAGCACCCCCGTAAATACACGCCTCCCACTAAGTCCTAATGTGTCGAACTCTGCTCATTGCCACCAACTGCCAGCTATTTGCTTTCTCTAATTTTGTTTTGCATCCACAAATGAATACCAGCTCTTCCACGCCTCCTGGGACACCGTGGTGGTAAGCGCTGACACCATCCCGCTCAGAGCACGAGCCGTGATGCATCTCGACGCCTGGCCAAGCAAAACTTCTCTGTAAAAGTGCTGCGAACTCACAGCTATTGCTAGCAGCTTTCCGTGCAGTCTGTGTGTATCTTCTTGCAATGTATAATCTTACCCAGAATGGTTTTGAAAGACTGAGAACTTGATCCTGCCAAAAATAGTCTGTGCAGCCAAAACAAATCAACAGAGGATCTTTAGCATTTGTGCTGGCCTGCGAGTTACATTTTTCACCTTTTTCAAATGATACGTTTCTTGACATCAATGAAACCTTCATTTGACTTGTAAACCCCCTAATTATTCTTTCAAGTGTGACAAACAGTATTTTAATTATAACGTCAGGGCTCAGTAAGCAATTAGCTTCACGGGCGTAGCAGAAAAGACACACCACCAGGGACTTTAGCCCTAAAAGCGCCTGTGTGCAGGCTGGCAGATGTATCCTAAGAATTTGTTTATTTGCATTTGGTTTATGTGGTTTTGGTGACCTTTCGTTCAAATCAGCCAGTGACTTACAGGAGGCGAGCTGCATACTCACTGAAAAGAAATGCGGTAAAATAATCTAGCCCGGGCCTTTCTGCTGAATATCACATTTCTGCTGAATATCACATCCCCGCGTCAAAGGCAGGGATGGCTGAGGCTAAGGGTAAAGGGACACGGTCCATGGATGGGGTGGCTGCAGGGACGTTGCCCCCACATTCCTGGTGGAGAACAGCAGCCCAGATGTGGGTTATCAGATATAAGGCCTGGCTGGCTGGGTGCATCCTACAGGGGGAAAGGGGGCAGAGAAAGGCTTCAGTCCCTTACTGGGACGAGGTAATGTGATGCCTAAGCCCATGCAACGTGGTTTCCACGTAGGCTGGACCCAAGGCAGAACCTTTTGCCCTTTGAGGTCCTCAGAGGTTTGTTTGGAGGCCACACTTCCTACCTCATTTTGAGGGGTAGGTGAATGTGTAGGTCACCTATGGGCCTGGCACCGTCAGAGGCTGTTTTATGGCCGGGGAGTGCCACGCAGGCTGCCTGCTTGCCTCACCGGGAAAGGCCATCAACATTTTCATTGGGAGTGGGCTGTATTTCAGGATGCATATCACTGAAACCCAGGCAAGGGTGGCTCTGCATGAGAAAATACCACAAGTACAAGAGATAACACTGCACTGGTCATCTTTGAGCCATCAGGAGATAACAGTGCTTTGCTCTCAGCAACCTGAACCGTGAGGGTGTTATTGCTGCTGTCAACAGGTTATTTATTTTAAGGGAATAAACGAGGTTTGTTGTTGAAATGGGCTGATTTTGTGTTATCGGAATTTCTCAAAAAGAGCCTGTGGAAGTTCCTGCTCATTTAGTGTGCTAGTTTGGTGGATGCTTTCGCGATGATTTTTCTAACTCAGTTTGGGAATCCTCAGCCAAAAGACAACACTCAGTTTTGTGGGTGGTCACTTCAGACCCGCAAGTTGCCTGCCTACCCGTGGGTCCCTAAGTGAGGTCCTTTTGGAAATTCCTGGAGTCTGAGATATTGACTGTGTCTGAACCTGCATACAAACACTGGGTGTAGTGGGGTTGTTTTGGGTTTAGAGGCTGAGGACATTGTCTGTGGGGAAGCTGTGGCACAGAGGGCTCTCTTACAGTCACCAGGCTGGTCCACATCCACCAAACTGAACTCTTGCCTGTAGTTTTCAACTCAATTTTCACCTTTTCTTGTGCCTCGTACTGCTAAGTACACAGGTTTTGTGTCTCAGGGGAAAGGTGGGCATCCTGGGCTGTGGTGTAGGCACCACGCTGTGACTGGAAATAATGACTTCTGAAATTTGGCACAGAAGAGGAAAAGGTCGGGAATGGCTGTACAGAAGATTCAAGGTTTCATATAATCATGTAATCACCTAGGTTTGAAAGACCTACAAGATAATGTAATTGTTTGTCATTTCACGTTTTTATTTGATGCTACGTCCCTTCAAAGCAGCTTGGTGATCTCCACCGGCAACTGCCTGAAAGGAAGTTGCAGCGAGGAGGTGTCAGTCTCATTTCTCAGGTGGCAAGTGATGGGACACAGGGAAATGGCCTAAAGTTGGGCCAGGGGAGTTTTAGAATGGAGGTGAGGAAGAATTTCTTCTCCCAAAAAGTGGCTGGGCATTGGAACGGGCTGCCCGGGGAGGTAGTGGAGCTGCCATCCCTGGAGGTGTTTAAGAGACACATGGATGTGGCGCTTAGGGACACAGCTTAGGGATGGACTTGCTAGTGTTCAGTGACGGATAGGTCTTTTCCAACCTAAATAAATTCATCACGTGTGGGGACGGCATGAAGCTGCACCAGGGGAGGTTCAGACAAGGAATTAGGAAAAAAGTCTTTTTGTGAGGGTGGTCAAACACTGGACAGGTTAGACTGGACCTCCTAGCGAGGTGGTTGATGTCCCAAGCCCGTCAGTGTCTGGCGCTGGGGCTCAATGATCCCCGCAGGACCCTTCCAACTGAACTGCTCTAAAATCACAGAATCACAGAATCATTAAGGTTGGAAAAACCCTCCAAGATTATCTGGTCCAACCATCCCCCTACTATCAATGTCACCACTGAACCACATCCCCAAGCACCACGTCCAACCTCTCCTTGAACACCCCCAGGGACGGTGACTCCACCACCTCCCTGGGCAACCCGTTCCAGTGCCTGACTGCTCTTTCTGAGCAGAAATGTCTCCTCATCTCCACCCTGAACCTCCCCTGGCACAGCTTGAGGCCATTCCCTGGTCCTATCACTGGATATCTGCGAAGAAGAGGCTGACCCCCAGCTCCTTGAGGGGGCACCTCAAGCGGGGGGCACCTCAAGCGGGGGGGGAGGGCGGGAAGAAAGAGAGCGGCTGACTAAAACGCTGCACCTCAGCGGGCAAAGTTGAAAAACTATCTCAAAAGAAAAAAAAAAAAAGTGAAAAAATAATAATTTTTAAAAAGTGCTGAGGAGGAAACTTTCGAGGAGGGCGCCGCCGAGCGGGCACCTCGGCGGGGCGGGGCCGGGTGGGAGAGAGGAGGAGGAGGAAGAAGAGGAGGAGGAGGAGAAGAAGAAGGAGGAGGAGGAGGAAAAGAAGGAGGAGGAAGAGGAGGAGGAGGAGAAGGAGAAGAGGAGGAGGAGGCCGCGCGTGCGCGGGGCGGCGGCGGGCGGGCGGGCGCAGCCATGAGCGGCGGGGCGGGGGCTGGCGGCCGCGGCGTGTGAGGAGGGGTCGGCGGGGCGGGGGGGCCCCGTCCTCCTCCTTCTCCTCCACCTCCTCCTCCTCCTCCTCCTGCTCCCTCCCCGCGGAGATGGTGCCGGGGCGCGGGGCCCGGAGCACGGCGGCGGGGGGCGGCGGGGCCGGCCCCTCTCGGCGGCGGCGGGGCCGTGCCGGTGGTGGTGGCGGTGGCGGCGGTGGGGCCCTCGCCGCCATCTCCTCCGCCTCCTGCCGCTGCTCCTGCTCCTGCTGCCCGCCGGCGCCTCCGGGCAGCTCGGCCCCGGTTTGGGCTCCGGGCCCCCGGCCTGGCCCCCCGCCGGCCCCGGGCCCAGCCTGAGCCTGTACCTGAGCGAGGAGGAGGTGCGGAGGCTGATCGGTGAGTGCGGCCCGGCCCGGGGCGGCGGGGGGCTGAGGGGCCTGGAGGGGACCTGGAGGGGAAAGGACGAGGGATCGGGGGGCTGTGGGGCTGGGCAGGGGGCTGTGGGGTTGGGGGTGGCGGATCTGGGGGGCTGGGGGAGGATGGAAGGGGCTGGGGGAATGTGGGGGTCAGGAGGGGATGGTGTTGGTGGGGCTGGCCAGGTGTGGGGGGCCATGGGATTACTGGGGGGCATGGGCACGACCCCAGGATTGAGGCTGTGTGGGGATCGGGGGGCTAAAGGGGAGCTGAGGTGCCTGGGCTCTCCTGCTGTGGTGGCGGGGAGCTGCCTAGGCTGGAGTGAGTGGGGGTGATGCGCCCTGGGAGCGGGGTGACCCCGCCGGAGATGAGCCGAGGCCCGGGATTTAATTAGCGCGGTGAGTGACATTGGGAGGGCAGAGAGGAGACCTGGCAATAATTGGGTGCGTGTGTGAAAGGAATCTTAATTTCCAGGCAGGCTGACAATTGCTGCGCGAGGACTTGGAGGCAGTTTGTGAAGTCCCCCATCTGGCCCGCTGCAGAAGGCTTTTCGTAGTAGCTTTGTGCTTGGAGAGTCTCTGATTTAAACAAAGATTTGTTTTCTGTGGGCTTTGGCTTGCTTAGGGTTGATGGATGGAGTCTCAGAACAAGTATGTTGGTATCCCCAGAGGTTTGTTTTTCAGTAGGTGTCCTATGGCTCTGTAAGCTAAAAACCAAAATCTTCCAGCAGCTTATGACTTCCTTTGCATCAAATGGACAAAATAAAAATATCCCCAGTGAATTTGGGCTCTGTAAGCACGTAGCTGACTGCAGTCAGGGGACCCAGGGGGTGAATAACGCTGTAAACATTTTTTTCCCTTATGGCTTGCTCTGGCGATTAGCATTCTGCTGTCATCATTTTTACATCGCATGTGCTTGCTGCCAGATGCTCTGTTGCAGATAGAGGATAAAACAGTCAGGCTTGCTGTTTAGCTGAGTCTCTAAACAAGTAATTAATCTTGGAAATACTGAATGGTAAGGTTTGAGCTATCCAAAGCCTAGTGCCTGAAATGCGTCGTAGATGGACTTGCTCAGGCTTCAATTGGTCCACTACTGCAATTATTCATCATTAAGCATAACATGAGGAAGGAAGATATTTTTTTTAAAGTTAAATTGCACCCCATAGTTTCCCTTATGGGCGTGCTAACATGGCTAACGTCACTTAGTGTTCAAGTTGTCTGTAGCTGTTTTACATCACTTAAAATATCTGCAATGAAATGATCTGTTCTGCAGCCCCAAAGGCTTGGATAAACTGGAGTCTGCCATGGAAATAACAGGTTTCTAGTGCTCTGGAAGAAGTATCAGTTTATAGATCCTGATGAACAGATTGTGTTTTTGGGGTATTCTGTCCTACGTACTAGCTGTCGCAGATAAGGTGTTGGGCATCTAGGCACAAATCTCGGGCACCTGCAGGTATTCCTCACACAGAAGAAGGCCCAAAGGGGCACAGTTGCTTTGGTTCCAGTTCTTCACGCTTCTGAAGACAAAACAATCTGCTCCTTTAAAATGTTCGTCTCTGTAGTATCTGTAGTGTGTTTACATCAAATTTATTGTTAAAAATGCTCCCATCAGCGTGTGTGAGCTGCCCAAGTGAGCAGAGGTTTTCCAGATCCTGCAGCTTCTTTGAGGAAGCCAGTGGTTCAGTGGACACTGGGACAAGTCACAGTAGATAGGAAAATGACATCGCTTGCGCAAGTAAACTGTGAGGTTCACTGAAACTGCAACTATAAACATAAAAGTTAGTTTCTTGTATCTTTTGTTTCTAAACAAACTCAGTCCCTTGCTACTGTCTTGCTGTGGTTGAAGGGAAAACTGAGGCTCTCTGAAGTGCTAATAAACCCAAGTGTTAGACAGTTGCTACAGCCTGTGGTGTGTTTCCATGTTTCCCAATGTTGCTCCCGTGCTTGTTTAGATCACAAACTTGATCGGGAGCAAATGTAAGCACGCAAACATGTTGATTTGACCATAGACTGTGATAGAGTGCATCCTCCCTGCAAAGCTGGAGCATCCTCAGCAGCTGGGGTAAGGTCTGCTGGTCCCACTGCTTGCCAGGTTGCACTGGCTCGGGGGAGCACTGCTCAGAAATAGGAGTTCCGTGCCATACTGAAACGCTCTTTGTGTTTTTAATTGAGATCGTGGCTCTTCTACGCAGAAGGTGAAGAAATATTGACTTAAGATTATTCGTGGCTGCTCTTTCTGTGAAGCAGAGGCAGCGCAAATGGTATGGCTTACAGTGAGAACTGCCTGCTGCTTCCCTGGGCGTTTAAGCCAGATTTCCACCGTTACTCCATGTGATTCTGACCATGTGTCTGCCTCAAGATGAATCGTTTTGAAATCATCAGAACTTTACATTTACAGACGAAAACTGGTGAAAACTGGCTCGTCTTGTTGTGTGAGATCGATTTGTATTTTGAAAAAGCTGCAGCATTCCCATGATCTGAAAGCAGGACTTGCTATATGGCAGACAGATGCTCCCTCTGTCTGAAATATCTCTTTGCCGTTCCCGTGGAATTTGTTCTCAGACGTCCAAACTGTGAGCCTATGGGAAAGAAAAACTGCGGTTTTCACATGTGCTGGGTGGCGATTCCGCCAGGCAGAGCTCGGCAGCGGGTGGGATGGAGGTAGGGAGATGGCAGAGGGTCAGGGCACAGCCTGAGCGGTGG